CACAAAAATTCTTATGACTTATCAGAATAACGACTAATTCTATATACACTGATCAGCCATAACATTATGACTATCGCCTAATATTGAGAAGGTCCCCCTTTTGCCCCTAAAACAGCCCTGACCCATTGAGACATGGACTCCACTAGCACTCTGAAGGTATGCTGTGGTATCTGGCACCAAGCTGGCAGAAGCAGATCCTTTAAATCCTAAAAATTGTGAGGTGGGGCCTCCAGGGATTGGACTTGTTTTTCCAGCGCATCCCACAGATGCTCGGTAAGATTGAGGTCTGGAGAATTTGGTGGCCAAGTCAACACCTCAAACTCGGTGTGTTCCTCAAACCATTCTTGGTCCATTTTTTCAGTGTGGCAGGGCGCATTATCCTGCTAAAAGATGCCATTACTATCAAGGAATACCATTTCCATGAGGGGGTGTACTTGGTCAGCAACAATGTTTAACTAGGTGGTACATGTCAAAGTAACATCCACATAAATGACAGAACACTGCCCGAAGAATTACACTGCCTTTGCAGGCTTGTCGTCTTCCAATTGCGCACCCTTGAGCCATATTTTCTGATGCTCACGTGCCCATTATAGGTGGTGGACAGGGGTCAGCATGGACGCCCTGAATGGTCTGCAACTATGCAGCCTGATATGCAACAAACTATGGTCTAATGTGTGTTCAGACACCTTTCTATTGGAACCAGCATTAACTTTTTTCAGCAATTGAAGTTACAGTATCTCTTCTATTGGATTGGACTGCATGGGCCAGCCTTCATTTTCCCCGTGCATCACTGAACCTTGGATGTCCTTGACCCTGTCGCCTTTTCAGCGGGTTTCCTTCCTTGAACCACTTCTGTTTGGTCCTGACCATTGCAGACCAGGAACATCCCACAAGAGCTGCAGTTTTGAAGTTGCTCCAACGCATTTATTTATCTGGCCCTTGTCAGTCACTAAAATCCTAAGTCTTGACCATATTTTCTGCTTTCAACACATTAACTTCAGGGGCAAAATGTTCACTTGCAGCCTAATATATACCACCCACTACCAGGTGCCATTGTAAAAAGATGATCAATGTTTTTCACTTCACCTCACAGTAGTCATAATATTATGGCCGATTGGAGTAAGTTGAAACCGTTAATCTGCAGAAGTAGTCACATCCTTCCTAATGTATTTCATTTCAGTTGATGTGTGTGGCATCGGGCGACGGCAGCGAGGGAGGGTCGCAGATGGTTTTCAATGATTTAGTAATTTGATCATGGGGAAAAGCCCACGGTGGTTAAGGAAGAAAAGCTGGTTAGGTTACAGCCTGTAAATACATGATTAAAAGATAAGCTTCAAGGATAAATACACCCATCTTTCAGAACCCACCATCCCTAGGGTAAAAATGATAGGTCAACGGCATTCCAAATTCCTTAATCTTTTTTTTTTTTTTTAATGCAAAATCATAGTATCGCATAACCGTGACGTTTTTAAGGCCCTACAAGGTCCCTTCATCAAGCAAAACAATGTGATAACATATGTGCAAACAAATAGTGCAGAAATTATTACCCAATCAAAATGCCCTGTTCAATCCCTCTGATGTTACTGTCCTACTCCCTTCATTACTATCAATACTACATGCTTGCATAATGAATAACAAATAAACTTTCGTAATGTTATAAAATTAGTACACCTGCCCCAAGGGCTGTTGTAGTCATGTCATATTCATATGCTACACTGCCGTTATTGTATCCCATTGCCATAATCACGCTAATTGTCTACGCCCCCCATGGAGACAATTTCTGTCAAAGGGTCTACATAGGAGGCAAGAGCAGCAATGTCCACCACCTGGCTGATCCACACTTCTTGTCAAGTGGCTGTGCTACGCAAGCCCACAGAGGCATGGAGTCGGCATAGTGTGCCTGTCCTGGAGCAAAAGGGACCACATCAGTACCATGGTAAAGGCTGGAGCATAAGGGACTGCATCAGTACCATGGTGAGGGCTATCAGCACATGCACCAGATAGATCTGTCACCAGTCCAACATTCAAGCCCTCAAAGCTGCTGACAGCATCAGCAGAAGCGAAACCGCTGCAGAGCAGCTAGTATGCATACTAGCAGTGAATGCCACGCATAATAATGATGTACATTGTCACATTTCATACAAAATAACCATTTTATTGCTCAAAGACCTAAACCATAGGATTGTACAAGGACATTTCATTGCAACTGCAACATCCCATTAACAATAAAAGGCACCAGCGAAGTGCAGATATATTGTACAAATACATGTGTATCAGTTATGTGTTACTGATGGTGTGTTGTTCTATCAATGTGTTAAGTGCATGTCTAAAAAGTAATAAATGCAAATACATGCAGCGTTAATAGAATATGCCTAAAAGCGTGGTAAAATGCAAAGGCTATTTTGGCCAACTTTAATCACAACACATAATGGCATACCATGTTCACCCCTTTTTTTTTTTGTGTGTCCAAGGGCTGCTGATCTTCTCCAACCTCTTATCTTCCCGTCTATGTGCACTCATTCCAGCGTCAGCTGCATGTTGCTCCAGATTGGTACCGCAATGTGCAAAAGCATACCTGAGAGACAGTGGTCACCAAACAGGAAGTGCCTGTATGAAGAACCTTCAGGGCAGAATCACCCGGTATTTTTTAAAACGGCTCTGCTTTAAAAAGTTTAATGCCAGCACTGCTGAAGGCCACTCCTTTCAACAGGCATGCTAAGTCTGTAGAAAGAGCAGTAGAGTCGATCTGCTTTGTCCCCCACAATGATGAGAGCGGTTCTCCCTACATTCTCCACCTCACTACAGAGTCCTGTAGTGAGGTCAATGGAAGGAACCACCAAGCACTGTGGGAAAATAAACACTCCAGGAAGTATCGGTCTCTCAGTAGACTTGGTCTATTTCCAGTTTTGCAAGCAACTTGGGATAACACCTACTTTATATATGTTACATGTTTCCCATTCATATAATATTAAACTTAAGATTGTTACTGCATGCACAATACATGCACGCAAGTTAATGTTAACCTAATTAACCCTGTCTTTACTGTGCTGGCAGATCTCATCCCTTCTAAACTAGGTTTGCGCAATGTCTGACCTAACAAAAGGTTAAAGAAGCATTTTGTTAATGAGAGGAAGCTCTGAGTGCCCCAAGTCTTTATATGGGGACAAACAAAGTTTCCTGTCACTTGGAAAGTAGGAGATTACAAAGGTCTGCTACATAGAGACATCTAAATGGTAAGAAATATTTTTGAAAAAGAAAAAAGGTATACTGTGTAAAAAGGGACAGGTAACATACCTATATAGGGGATTTCTCAAATTTGACTGCAAACATTGAAATACACTAAATTAATTTCTACTTCTGCAGTCAAAATTTGGAAAAGCCCTATATAGGTTTTGGTTCCCATTCACACAGCATACCTATTTTTTTTAATTTTAATAAAATAATAAAACCTTACCTTTTCTACCTTTTTCATATTTTATATTTGGAGATTTTGCAGCAAAGAGTGATTTCATGGTAAACTTCAATAATAGCTTTTACAGGTAGTTTAAGTATTCCAAGCTTCTATAGTGCTTATGTAGTCTGCAGTGTATGCAGAATGCTTCTATATTGTTGCACATGATTCAGTACAATTTATCTTTTTTTATTTTTTGCTTGCCAGCCTCTGTGCTGTACCTTTTTGTCGTATTCTAGTTTGCGGTGTTGAATTATAGACTATTATTGGCACAAATGTTGTACAATAAGTAGACAGTCCTTGTCTGTATTTTTCAGTGACGTCAGGACACAGTTCTCAGGATGCATTTATTTAGAAAGAACTTGTAATGTGTGTACATATATGTGCATACTATATATTTTATTCTTCTGCCATTTTTACATATCCCTCATTACCAGGCTGTCCTCACAAAGCACAGTTTGATTCCCAAGTCCTGTTCCCTTCCCGTTAACCAGCATTTTACCGCTTAGCAAGTAGAAAGAAGTCTTTCATTGCAAAGCCCCATTTAATTGCCTCGAAACTGAAGAGGCTTCTCTGTAATGTAAACGTGCCAGGCAGGGTGTATGGGAGGCGTTCTGGAGGTGATCTGAATCATGTTAACCTCTCAGGTCTCTATCCATACAAGATTCTGGTCTCTCGCTGATAATTCTGCTATTCACTCCAGAATATTAGCACCATACCAGAGGTCCCATCCCCCAACTATGCTCCTAAATCTTGAGTAAATAGCCACAAATCCTTCTTTCTTGTTTTTTTTTGTGTGGGTTTTTTTTTGTTTGTTTTTTTTGTAAGATCACCTGTTTTCAAGTTGCCGGTTTTTAAGATTTAACTGAAAACTACCTCTGAAGAAACAATTAAAATTAAAAGTGCATGACAGTGTTTTCATATTGCCAGAGGCTTTTCTCGCCTGACCTGAACCCCATAGAGAATCTATGGGGCATTGCCAAGAGAAAGATGAGAGATATGAGACCGAACAATGCAGAAGAGCTGAAGGCCGCTATTGAAGCATCCTGGTCTTCCATGGCACCTCAGCAGTGCCACAGGCTGATAGCTTCCATGCCACGCCGCATTGAAGCAAGAATTGCTGCAAAAGGGGCCCAAACCAAGTACTGAGTACATATGCATGCTTATACTTTTCAGAGGTCCGATATTGTTCTATGTACAATCCTTGTTTTATTGATTGCATGTAATATTCTAATTTTCTGAGATTGTGGATTTGGGGTTTTCATGAGCTGTAAGCCATAATCATCACAATTATGACAAATCACGGCTTTAACTATCTTGCTTTCCATGTAATGAGTCTATCTCATATATTAGTTTCACCTTTTAAGTTGTATTAGTGAAATAAATGAACTTTTGCACGATATTCTAATTATTTGAGTTTCACCTGTATGATCAAAGAGTGATTAAACCCTAAACTTATGTTTGCCTTTTAAGCATAATCTTAGTAGTAGTTCTGTTAAGTGGAAGCAATACAGGAAAATCTAATATTTTATATTTCTTCCCTCATTAGGAAGAAGAAAATCTATAAAGGCTTGGGCATTTCTTTCTGTGTGGTGATTACCTTGACTATCTTCCAAACGGGGACACTGCCCAATCTGCCTTTCACTCAGAAGGATATAGATTCTGAAGTTCCTATAAATGCTGTAAAACGTGACACTTACCCCGCACCTCATGGTTTTTGGGCACTCAGGAATGGAAAAATTAGCTCCTCTCCTACTGAAGATGTACATCCTAGTAAATGGGATATTAAAGCCATCAACTGCAGTGCCAACGGGAACCTTACTAATCTCGACTGGTTCAAAACACTGGAGCCTAACTTCCAACAGTTTCTCCTCTACCGACACTGCCGCTACTTCCCTATGATTATTAACAACCCACAAAAGTGCAGTGGAGATGTTGATCTCCTAATTGTGGTAAAATCAATAATCACTCAGCATGACCGCAGGGACGTTATACGTAAAACCTGGGGGAAGGAAAAAGAAGTGAATGGAAAGAAAATAAGAACATTGTTTCTTTTAGGAACAGCTATGAAAGAAGAGGAAAGAGCCAATTACCAAAAACTTCTGGAGTTTGAAAACCAGATATATGGTGACATTCTTCAGTGGGATTTTCTGGATTCCTTTTTTAATTTAACTCTTAAGGAAGTACATTTTCTCAAATGGATGACTATTTATTGCCATCACGTGGCTTACATCTTCAAAGGGGATGATGACGTGTTTGTGAGTCCCAAGAATATCTTGGACTTTTTGGGTGATGACAAGAAACCTGATCTGTTTGTAGGAGATGTCTTATACAAAGCTCGCCCCATTCGCAAGAAAGAAAATAAATACTATATTCCAACATCCCTGTACAACAAAAGCCTCTATCCACCTTATGCAGGTGGTGGAGGCTTTGTTATGGCAGGCTCTTTGGTCAGAAAATTGTTCAAAGCGTCTGAAACTTTGGATCTGTATCCTATTGATGATGTGTTTCTCGGTATGTGTTTGGAGGTTGTCAGGGTCAACCCTATAATGCATGAAGGCTTTAAAACTTTTGGCATTGTAAGAAACAAACACAGCAAGATGAACAAGGAACCCTGCTTTTTTCGAAGCATGCTTGTTGTTCACAAGCTATTACCTGATGAACTGCTTCATATGTGGGAACTAGTACATAGTAACTTAACTTGTTCTCGAAAAGTTAACATTCTTTAGTGTCTGTGGCAAAGGACCTGTGGAGGAATTAGAAAATTTATGTAAAAACTTGATTTCTTATATTTTATTAAGACTGTTTCCCTGGCAGGTTTAGGGATTCGGCTTCCTGAAATTATTTTTTTAAGTTCTGTCTATGAAAAATGGGGATTTGCGACTTTTGTTTAGGGATTCCATGGAACTGTGCTCTGGGTACGATATAGGCAATCATTGTAAACATGAATGAAAGCTTGATTTCATCTCTGGGTCTATCAGCTGTGCTGTACATGATGTGAAGGAGGCTCTCGTGTTTTTCTTTGGATTTTTTTTTTTCCAACCACGGAGTCTTATATGGTACATGCAGTGATGCTTACCCCAAACTACACTTCATGAAAGCTCTCATTTCACATAGTAACTTAACACTGGGTGTGCCTGCGATATGGTGTCAAGCCATGTTTCTTTCCTGATCACAGGGATCTACAACGGTGCTGTCCATACACCTGGCTCACAGACTGCGCAAACAAAGAAAAATAAATTAACTGTTTAAACTGTGACCTACTTTTATTTCCAATTTCTTGAATTGTTTTGTTTTATATTTATGTTTAAATGTTTTGAGGTTGTTTTTGTTTGTTGATTGACCTTCTTGATTTGTTTTACAATATTTTTTGTTGGAAATTGTTAATTTATAAAAGTAAAATTTAAATTAAGGAGCATTACCATGAGTGTTTGTTTTAATTAGAGGAATCGTATTTCAAACCTATATAATAATTTTTGGTTGTACATGGTAGGATGGAAGGTTAATCTATTCTATGAAAGTGGAAATGTTAGTGTATGCCCACCAAAAACCTTCTTTTTTTGGGTTTGGAAAGGAAAAGATTATTGCTCATTTGGGGTTTTATTGATATCTGGTGCTCCTTTAGAGAAATTTACCTAAAATGCCTGCCCTTCTGACAACTGTTCCTTCAGATAGGAAGTGAGGGAAAATCTGCAACTGGGACACAGATATTCTATAGCTTTGGTTCTCAACTGGTGGGTTTCAATTAACTCCGCATTATTAGTAATTATTAAATCTAGGATGGCATTTTTTCTAGTTGGGACCTCCACCATCTGGTCCATAAAGTTGTCTCTCAACATGTTCAAAAATCGACCCTCCTTGGTTGAACTTGAGGTTCCATTAACCTTAAAGTGGGTCGCGACCCCGTGTTCACAGGGTCCACATGTGCCTTCCACTTTTCTAGGTGCGAGGCTCCTCTGCCTCCCCCTAGAGCAGCAATGTCAGTTCTCACGCCAAGCAGCCATTGAAAATATGCTGCCTGGTGCCAAGTGTCAACTTGAAGTGGGATGGGGGGCTATGGCTGCGAGGGAGCTCCATGCATCCGTGCATTATTTACAGCTCCCTCACGTGTCCTATAGAGGTGCCTGGACCGGGCTGATGTCACATTCTGTCTCCTGGCACCTCTACAGGGCGCAAAAGGGAGCAGTACAAGCAATGCACGTATGGATGGAGCTCCATCACAGTTCAGCAGATTGTGTTTTGTGGTTGTGTATGTATGTCAGTGTTTTTGAGAGCCCGTTCACACTAGTACAGTGCATTAATTGCGTATTATCGTGCGCTTAACACACTAACATGCAACATCACCTACCGTACATTCTGGTGTGGGAGGTGTAACGGGTTGCCATTCATTTGGATGGTACCCCAAACGCACCTCAAACCCACAGCTCGTACGTCCGCACTGGAATATGCGGTACCCTAATTCTATGGATTCCATTGCAGTGTGACTTGGGTCACAACTTAATAACCAAGGACAAATGTGGGTCCTGAGGTTACACAGGTTGAGAACCACTGTTCTATAGTATGCGATTAGTAATATACTACAGGCCTGTAGCATGAGTTTTATTGGTTAACTACAAGTTCAGACCCCCTTTTTTATATTACCCCCCCCCCCCCCCCCTTTCCTGGCAGCTACTCAAGTTTGTGAAAAGGGGAGGGGCAAATGACCTGGACCAGCACAGACAGTAATTAGACACTCCCAGAAGAGGAGAGAGCTGTGATGTGCAAGGAGGGAGGGCCATATAATAGGGAATTGATTCTTCCTTCCAAAGACACATTTTGAGTTAAAACATTGCTTATAAAAATGAAAAAAAAATATCTGTTCATTGTGTTAAAATGACAGAAAGCTAAAAAAATGATTTAGAATGGAATGAAAGCCTAACCATTACTGGAGCTCATTATTTTCTGGAAAGGTGTAAACAAGGACAAAGAACGTGTTTGTTTGAAACATTCTCTCACTTGGACCTAAAGCCAATTTTGCCTAGAACATCTTTCTTAGATCAGCTGTTTGTGTTTTGGTTGTACACAATCTACAACAAATATTCTAATCCTCCTAAAATCTGAACACCGTCATGTTTTTTTCATTCCTTGCAAGAGAAGTGAAAAAAATGGTAGATTCCTCCATCCACGACCCCACCCGTAATCTAGTCTGGCAACATTTTTGGTGCATGTCTAGATGGAGGGTGTTTCTGAGAGCCCTCTTAATTCCTTTGGTGGTGATTGTGACCTGCTTTAAAGCCTAATTCCAGGCTTTCTTGTCATGCAGGCACCCCAGCCGTACTAGCAAAATGATTTTAATGCGGTCTGTCCCCATTAGAGAGATTTCCTCCCACTTCATGTTCTGTCTGACACCCAAGGATTAAGGAGGTATCGCCCAAACTGGGACACTGCAATAAAAAGTTGAGAGGCTCTAACCCTTCCCGACTCTATCCAAAGCAAAAGTTTTGCCTGTTTTATATTCTATAAAATTTGCTGATATAATGATCATTGTCCTCTGTTACGTTACGTTTACACTAACTTTTTTTACACTAACCTTTCAGAGCATGCATAACTATTCACCCTTCTCTCAAAAAGTCAATACTCTGTAGAGCCACCTTTTGCAGCCGCAATTACAGCTGCAAGTCTCTTCGGGTAGTTCTTTATAAGCTTGGCTCATATAGCCACTGGGATTTTTGCCTATTCAAGGCAAAACTGCTCCAGCTCCTTCAAGAAAGATGATTTTTGTACAGCAATCTTTACGTCATGCCACATATTCTCAATTGGATTGAGGTCTGGGCTTTGGCTAGGCCATTTCAAGACATTTAAATGTTTCCCCTTAAACCACTCGAGTGTTGCTCCAGCACTATGCTATGTCCTGCTGGAAGGTGAACCTCTTCCCAGTCTCAAATCTCTGGCAGACTGAAACAGGTTTGCTCAAGAATTTCCCTATATTTAGCTCCATCCATCATTCCTTCAATTCTGACCAGTTTGCCAGTCCATGCTGATGAAAAACATCCCCACAGCATAATGCTGCCACCACTATGCTTAATTGTGGGGATGGTGTTCTTTGGGTGATGAAAGATCTGTAACCTCTAAGTGTGGGCTTACTGTAGGGGCCTTCGAATAAGAACTCCCCACCTTTTGGGTTATTCGGTCGCTGTCTTAACTAGGGATGTACCGATACTAGTATCGGTGCCGATGCAGAGTACTCGTCCAAATGCTCCGATGCCTAGCCCGATACCTGAGCTTCCAGGATCAGGAAGCCGGGCAGTGATGCATTACCCGCCCCCTGGCTTTCTGATTGGTCAGAAAGCCTGCTTCATGCTCACTCATCACCTGGTGACGAGGGAGCACGGAGCTGGCTTCCCAGCCAATCAGGAAGCTGGATGCCGTGTAATGACTTGTTGCCTGGCTTCCTGATTGGTCAAGAAGCTGGCCAGAAAGCCAGCTCCATGCTTCCTTGTCACCTGGTGACAAGGGAACATAAAGATGTCTTCCCTGCTAATCGGGAACGTGGGTGGCGAGTCATTACACCCCACCTGGGTTCCTTAATGGAACTTTTGGTATTCTGTATCCGTGAGTACCGAACAAAAATATTGGTATTCGATAGCGGAAAAACGGTATTGGTGCATCCCTATTCTTTAACCTATCATCCTTGGGTTTCCTTGGTTACAGCAGTATAACCCCCATATTGACTGGGCATCAACACATACTTGGTCTGATTCTTGCCCCAGGTCCTGCCATTACTTTGGATGCTTCACCCACATTATCAGGAGTTTATTTTTTCAGAGGAAGCAGCTTCAGTTCTGCCACCTTACAGGGTGTATTGCTGCCCTATTGACCTCCTGCCTAGTTCTACACCCCCACTCCCCAGAGAGAATCAATTATCCATTCTGAAAAACTTGGCTATTAAGTCCTATATTGTGTAAAATTTACAGAAAGTATAAAATACCTCTTCTGATTATAGGGGCTTACAGTGTATTTCTACTGCAGTCATATTTGAGAAAACCCTGTTTGTGTTCCTATTCACACAGCATACCGAGGAAAAATATATTTGTTTGAATATTTTTTGGACGTTTTGACCTTTTTTTTTATTTGGATGTTTTGCTGTAGCAGGCATGATGACCGAAATATAGGTTTTTCTAAGCACCTTCACAGTGATCTGTCCTTGTAGAAAGACTTGGGACTGAAATTTGAGGGTTGAGTTTCTCATTAACATTTGAATGCAGAAGCCAGGCTTTTAATCCTTTTAACATTACAAGCAAGTAAAAATGTTAACCAAGTTAAAAAGTAAAAGCAATTTTAAACTGCAAGAATCATTTTTAAATACTGTTTTTAGCTTATGCTATGTGAATGGGAACATGTAACACACACAGTCCCTTTTCAAAAACCTATTGCCTTTATTCATGGAACTATTTAGTAGGATTCCAGGAGCACACATCTTTAAGTTGGATCCCAGCGGGCTTACAATTTGGTGAGAATTACCAGGGCAATGAGTGGAAGACCTCCTCCAATATCAGTAACGGCCATTATGAGTATTTGGTCATGACATTCGGTTAACTACCAGGGATTACAGTAAGGCACACATTACAGTATTTTATGTTAAAAATTCTGAGGGTTTAATGTCACTTTAAGAATGTACCAGAGGTTTTCCAGGAATTCATAAACTGCATTTTCTGTAATTTCCTGGGCAAATTCGTAATTGCCTATATAGGCAATATTCTTATCGTCTCCTCATTTTCTGAACATGTTGAGCACTTCTGCCTGGTTCTTTCTGGGCTTCAGGAACACGTTCTGTCAAGCCGTCCAAATGCATGATCCATACAACTGAAGTTTCCTTTTTGGGCTATATTGTCTCAGATTCTGGGATGGTCATTGATCCAGCCAAAGTTCAGGCCATTCTGCAGTGGACTTGTCCATCTACCCTAAAGGCTCTGCAGCTCTTATTGTATTTGACAATTTTCTGCAGGAAATTCAGTAAGAATTTTTCTGTCATTACTTTTGGCTAACTGGACTCTGGAAGCTATTTTAGCCATTGGAGCTTTACAAATAGTTTTTGACACTGTTCTAGTCCTCACCCATCTAAATCCTACCCTACCATTTGTAGTTGAGGTTGACACCTGTGAGATGGAGCTGGAGTAGTCTTATCCCGTAGGACCCATCCTTATAATCTTCACCCATGTGTATTTTTCTCTAGGAAATTATCTTCTGTTGAGCTGAATTGTGATGATACCGTTAGAG